GGTCAAGAACATGTGTACAGAGCCTGGGCAGGTGTTCCAGTTTTCTGTCACTGCCTGGGGTGAATGGAAGAGAATTCAGGATACGAGTCTTAGGCAAAGGGGTAACTACCATCGCTGCAGGCAGGTTATGTGACCAGAGTCACCCCATTTTCTGTTTCAACAGAAGTGGGCATTGTGGACTTTTATGTGAAAGTTCTTAATTTTTAAATGCTGTTTTCTGAACTTTAAACATTTTGAAAGAATAATAATAAAAAATAATTATAAAGGATGGATGGATGATAGGGCCTGGTTATTTAAAATATAATGCATCCATAAAAGTGGATCAAAAATGGTTCAAACCCCAGTACCACCACAAAAACACACAGAATTTTGCTGGGTATGGTGACTCATGTCTATAATCCTAGCTACTCGGGGGGCAGAAATTGAGAGGATTGAGGTTCAAGATCAGCCCTGGCAAAAAGTTATTGAGTTTGAGTTTCCCTGTCAACAAATAAACTAAGCATGGTGGTACACACCTGTAATCCCAGCTACAAGGGAGGCCTGCTCTCAGGCCAATCCTGGGCAAAAATGTGAGACCCTATCAGAAAAACAACTAAAGCAAAAAGGGCTGGGGGCATGGTTCAAGTGGTAGAGCACCTGCTCAGCAAGCCCAAGGCCCTGAGTTCAAACTCTAGTACTACTATTTTTAAAAAAAGGTATACCTTTTTGTTCAGTGGTAGATTGCATTTTCCAAAGATGGCAGCACTTTGGCACTCCACTTCTCCCATAGAGATAGGATCTGTGCCTTATGCCATTGAAATTGAGGCTGCTTTTGTGACTGTTTTGGGCAACAGAGTATGACCAAAGTAATCTTTGTGATTTTTGAGGCTAGGACATATAACAGGATACAGGTTTCACCTTGCCGTAGGGAAAGCTACCCTGTAGTCAGTGAACCTCTGGCTACTATCACACAGTCATTCTGGCAAACCCGGGAGGTGCCCATACTGTGAGTCTCCTTAAACTTATTCACTTGGAACCACCTGGAGAGGCTCTGGAGCAACATAAAATAGAGTCACCAACCAGCTCTGAGCTGCTTCGGAAACCCGGTGTTCCAGCTGCAGCCACCATGTGAGCTGGGCCACTCTGCCAAGTCCTTCTGTAATTTCTAGCCCTCAGAAGCCATGCAAGAAAATACAAAGACTGTTGTTGCTTTAAACCACTAAGATTTTGAGTGGTGTTTTATGTAGCTTGAGATAACTGGAAGAGGTAAAGAAAGATGAACAAGCCACTATTGCACGAGTTGGAACGAAAGCACATGAGCGCAGCAACCGCTTATGGGAGGGTGGACCCCATACCACTTGCTACCTGTTACCTCTGAGGAATGGGAGCATGAATCCAGGAGGAGGAGGAGGATTCTTATCCTTCATTTTATACTTGGTGTAATTGGATTTTTTTAAACCATGTCCATATATGCTTTGATACTTTTTTAAAATAAAGTTTAAATTTTAAATAAAGCAGAAAATGATAAAGCTAGAATTTTCATAGTTCACAGGCCTCCCTTTTCTTTTTAGCATCAATTCCTACTACTTTCTAATAAATCTATAGAAATCAGAACTGTCTTTTACACTCTTCACAAATTCACAAGAGCTCAGTCATGGACCATTTTTATTTGTATATCAGCTCAAATATAGAGATAAAAGAATATATATTTAATCTTGTCTAATTTAGGAAGAAAATCTGTTTCCTGAAATAGCACAGAATGAGCACTTCATCTTAATTTATGGTTTAATTCACCTGAGGGTTTTTTTTTTGAAAGATGATAAGATACAAGATTTTAATTTTTAAAAAATCCAATATGTTATTATGTTGTTAACATCTTTATCATTGTCTTTACTAAAATGTAGTAATTTTAAAAAATGAGATCACTTAATAGAAGTATTTGACTTAAACTACTCTGGAATCTTTTTTCATCCAAATCATTTCTGAGGAGAGAGATAGATTTTGTCCTAGAGAGACTAGATTTTCATAAAAGAATGTTGCACAGTCCAGTCTTTTCTGAATTCAGGACTAACTTCCTACACTCCAAGGGTTTAGTCCCCGCTGTTGGCTTTGTTTTAGATGTGTGGATCTCAGAAGTGAATAAAATTTTAGTGATTTGTTCAAGCCTTCTCAATTTAAAGATGAAGAAATATACAAAGAAAGTCACCTCGTTAATTTACTTTAAAATGATGGTTCTTAAACTTGGGGATACACGAGAATCATGTTAAAGGCTTGTTATAACACAGATTACTGGCCCATCCTCTGTGTTTCTGATCCTGTGGGGTTGGGGTGGAATCTGAGAATCTGCCTTTCTAACACATTTCTGGGTGAGGCTGATGCTGTGGTCCGGGGACCACACTTTGAGAACCTCTCTTTTTGAAATGACTCTTCGCCAAACCAAACTGGAGAGTTTCTTTTCCTCTGTTAGGCCATGAGTTTCAAACAGGCTCATTAAAAAAAAAAAAAAACTTTATCATTACTTAATTGAACTCTATGTATTCATCTTTTCTAATTTTCTAGGAAGGATGTATAATATCCCCAACATTTTCCCTGAGCTGTCTTCAGCTTTTGGGAGTCACCAAGCCTGGAAGTTCTGCCACAAACCATCACAAAGACCAATCTTTCTGACACTCTCCACAGAGCACTGCTAGTTCTCTGTTCTTCCTCACATGCTTGGCTCTGATCCTTGCTGCTCACCCTCTGTGGGTGTTGAACATATCTTCGGATATGCTTTTATATTTATATGCATTTCTCTTAACACATCTCATAAAATATCTTTGAGCTGAGAATGATTTGACTCAATGGTTTGGGGTAACCGTGGGTTTAAATAGAATAATAGCCCTCTGTGGAAACCCATTGAAAACAGGCTTGGGATCACCCTTTACATCACAGCAGCAATGTCGACATTCACAGGTTATGACCTTGTATGTATTTTGAAAATGAGCTTAGGGCTGTAAACAAATTGATGAAGCAGACAAAGGTTGAATTCCCAGGCATTGGCCAATAGGAGAGAGTATGATCCCATCAGCGTAAGCTGGCTCTACTCAACATTTATTGAGGGACCCGGCTGGGGTCTGAGTACACAAAGATAAATAGATCTGTCCACACGGAGCTGCCAGGCAACATCACATGATGGAGGCAAGTGTGGACTTTGGAGCAAGTTGGATTAGGTTCAAGTCCCACCTTTTTCTCTTAGAAAGCTTGTCTTGCTACTCTCTACAAAATGAGAATACAATGCCTACTTTATATGTACTTCCAAAGACTATAGTGGAATACTATTTTGTCTTAGTCTGCTTGTTCTATAACCAATACCATAGATTGAGTGGCTAAGAGAACAGAATTTATTTCTTAGCATTCTAGAGGTTGGTAAGTCTAAGGTCAAGGTGGAGTAGTTTTTGGTCATCCTGACTTGAAAATGACCATCTTCTTGCTGTGTGTGTGTGCACATGGTATTTTCATGGTGTATGTGCATTGGGAGAAAGAGATAGAGAAGCAGAGAGGGAGAGAGAAGAAACAGAGAGGGAGAGAGGAAGAGAGAAGGGAGGGAGAGAGAGAGCTTTCCAGTGTTTTCTCTTATTAGGCCACTTATCCCATCATGAGGGCTCCATCCTCATGACCTCATCTAACCCTAGTTACTCCCAAAGTCACCACTTCTAAATACCATCACGATATGGTTTGAGGGGTCAGCATATAAATTTGGGGAGAGGGACACATCAGCCTAACATGGCTGTCAATTCCTTAGTCAGTTCCTGGAGTTAGAGAATTGACAGTTAGTGGTACCTTTCCTCCTGTGTGTTTCTTTTCTTCTTTGAACTTTTCCTGCCCAATGTAGCACTGTGTGGGGACTAGAAAACCTAATGAATGGTTTTGCCAGGCACTTAAATTTTTACAATAAGCTACTGCCCCTAGCAGAAGCTTTTGGGATAAATTTAAAGAGCACAGACTTAAGTTTTTCTTTTTGTGGGTTTGAAATCCCCAAATAGTCTTCAGAGTTCACTGCAAATTCCCTCTGTACAATAACGTGATCAGAGTCCAGACAGGGAAGCCCTTGTATGTAGGTATTGAAATGAATTTGAAAATGTGAGAATTTCTTTAGACATGTTCTGAGGTTGTGGTCAATTCAGAGATCCTGTAAACATGATCTAAGAGTTGGTAGCAGAAAAGTGTTTTTGACGTTATGTATGTCTAAAACTATTTTCTGTATTATATTCTAATGTATGTAAGTGGAAAAGTGAGACCTGTTGAAATCACCCAGGAATAGACGGAGGAGGATAAAGGAGAATGATGGAGGGGTGAATTCAACTATGATATATTGTAAGAACTTTTGTAAATGCCACAATGTACCTCCAGTACAACCATATTAAGAAAAAGAAAAAAATAATAAAACTATTTTCTGTTAAATTGGAATGCTTCACTGGGTTCTCTTGTTAAAATTAGTTTAAAAGAGTTCTCTTTCTTTCTCTCTCTCTCTTTACTCTCTTTCTTCTTTCTCTCTCTCCTTCCTTCCTTCCTTCTTTCCTTCCTTCCCTCCTTCCTCTTTCCTCCCTCCTTCCTCCCCCCCTCTCATTTTTGAGGTACTCGGGGTTGAACCCAGGGTTTATGCTTGCTGAGCAAATACGGTACCACTTGAGCTACACCCAAGTCCTTTGGCTTTTTATTTTAGTTTTCAGATAGGGTCTTATACTAACTGTGCCTAGACTGACCTATGATTGCAGTCCTTCTGTGTCTGCCTTCCGAGTTGCTGAGAACTGTTTCTGTGCCATGAATTACCTGTTCGTTCAAGGTTGTTTTTACAAATAAAGAGAGTTTAAAATGGTGAAATTGGGATAAGACAAAGAAGGGAGACAGGAACCACGTGCCAAACACTTGCTGTCAAGTTGGGAGATTATTGCCAGTATGGAGACAAGACCTACTTGTCTCCAAAGTGTTTGATTCATGCGTTCGTGCATCACTGAGAACACTGTGTGTTTTAATTCCGACAGAAAACCAAGCCCTTGATGACAGAATTCTCGGTGAAGTCCACTATTATTTCTCGTTATGCTTTCACCACAATTTCCTGCAAAATGCTGAACAGAGCTTCGGAGGACCAGGATGTACAGTTCCAGGTGCAGATTCCAGCCCCAGCGTTCATCACCAACTTCACCATGTATGTGATACACTGGTCAGAGATGGAGATTTCCATGTTGGTGGTCAGGGAGCCTAAGATAACGCGAGGTCCACAGTCCTTTGACCGTGAGAATTTGTGTCCCAGAAGATTGAATTCATCCTTCCTTCCTTCCTTCCTTCTTTCCTTCCTCCTCCCTTCCTCCCTCCCTCCCTCCCTCCCTCTTTCCTTTCTCCTTTCCTCCCATCCACTTGCCTTTCCATTCTCTCTTCTTTTGTTCTATTCCTCTCTTCTTCCCCTCTTCCTTCCCTCTTTCTTTCCTTCCCTCCTTCCTTCCTGATCCACTCTGGAAGGCACTCTGAGAGCACTGGAATATTTCCGTGAAAAAAGACACTGTTGCTTTGCTGTAGGAATTCCATGGGGAGAAATAGTCAATAATTAAGTAAACAAATTAATGAACTAAATCATTTTAAATAATAGAAAATTTTATAGTATAAAGATGGCAAATAGGACTGGGGATTTTTTTTGAGACAGGGTCTCGCTATGTAGTTCAGACTAGCTTCAAATTCACAGTCCTCCCTCCTCAGGGAGGAGTGCTGGCATCTGAGGAGTGCATCATCATATCCTGCAAGAGGGGCCTCTTTAGTTGGGGAAATCAGAGTGGTAGCTAAGAGAGTGTGTTTGAGTAGAGACCTGAACAATGAGACAGTATGAAGTCTTTAATATACTAGATTGAATATATTTCCTCTTTTTCTGATTCAAGAAGTAAAGCCATGTAAAACAGAGTAGGTGTTTGGGTTTAATTTTTTATTTGGGCAAGATTCAAGTTGGTGAATCCTCATGGAAGTCTAAACAGATTTTGTGATTTTCTCCTGGAGAATCCTAGAGACACCCTGGGTTGGATCTGACCCTTTGGACCTGTTGAAAATTGCCCTAGAATGAAATGAATGATTCCAGGCTGGTGCCCTACTCTGGAATGCATTCTATCTACACATCCAAGAGGCAAATAAAAATATTTTCTGAGGTTGTCATGGTTCTGAGCTCCATATTTTAATTTGTGTTGGAACTACAAGCTTGGTAACACAGCTGTCTCTTATGTTTCAGGCTCATTGGAGACAAGGTGTATCAGGGTGAAATTACAGAGAGAGAAAAGAAAAATGGTGATAGGGTAAAAGAGAAAAGGAATAAAGCCATGA